TGACTCTTCATGAAATGCTGCACAACTTTGAATAATTTTGTTCCTTCATTAGATTATTTGCATTAATTTTAATAGAAGCCAATTTGCTCTTTGACATCTCTGTAAACTCAGTTTCAAAGGGGTTTTTTGGGGGGGAAGTAGCTAATTGTGCCTAGGTAATGATTAGATATTCCAATAAATTAATGTATCACCTGTGTCATTTATTAACTTTTCACATATGCTGATAAATACTTACAGATTCTGTATTCAATATCATCTGATATATTTATCCATTTGTCAATTCCAGTGCTAAGTTATATTGCTATTTTAGTTTTACAGTTTGTTCATTTCTACGGGGAAAAAGACCCCAAATTGTAATATATTTCATGTTGTTGTTGTTGTTAGGTGCCATCGAGTCGGTACCGACTCATAGCACCTGTATGTACAACAGAACGAAACACAGCCCAGTCCTGGGCCAACCTCGCAATTGTTGCCACACTTGAGCCCATAGACATCTCCCCCTTTAGTAAGTCTTAAACAGGACAAAAACATTGTTGTTGTTGTTGTAGGTGCTTTTGAGTTAGTTCTGACTCATAGTGACACTGTGCATAACAGGACAAAACAACGCCCTCTCCTACATCATCCTCACAACTTGCTCGGTTTGAACCCACTGCTGCCGCCATTGTGTCAACCTATCTCACTGGGGTCTTGCTTTCTTTTTCTGACCGTCCATTTTTCCAAGTCTGTTGTCTTTCTCCAAGGACTGGTTCATCCTGACAACATGTTCACAGTTCAAGAGACAAAGTGTCACCATCCTCACTTCTAAGGAATATTCTGGTTGTACTTCTTCCAAGACAGATTTCCTTGTTCTTCTGTCAACTCATGATATTTTCAATATTCTTTGCCTACACTATAATTCAAATGCATTGATTCTTCTAAGATCTTCTTATTCATTGTCCAACTTACACAGGCATATGAGGTGATTTTAAATACCATGGTTTGTTTGGGTCAGGCACACATTAGTCCTCAATATGACCACTTTGTTTTTAATGCTATAAAGAGGTCTTTTACAGCAGATTTGCCTAATCGAATATGTCATTTGATTTCTTGACTGCTGTGTCTATGAATGATGTGAATCCAGGCAAAATGAAGTTTTGAGCAACTTCAATCTTTTCTCTGTTTATTATGTTACTTATTGGTCCAATTGTGAGGATTTTCATTTTCTGTACATAAGGTAGAATTCATACTGAAGGTTGTGGTCCTTAATATTCATTAGGATTTCAAGTCCTCTTCATTTCAAGCTATCAAGATTATGTCATCTGAACATGGCAGATTGTCAATGAGTCTTCCTCCAGTCCTGATGCCATGTTCTTCAGATAATCCAGGTTCTCAGATTATTTGCTCAGCATACAGATTGAATAAATATGGTGAAAGAATTCAATCCTGGAACATGCATTTCCTGGTTTTAAACCCTTCAGTACTCCCTTGTTCTGTTTTAACTGCTTCTCAGTCTATGTACAGCTTCCTCATGAGCACAATTAAGTGTTCTGGAATATCCATTCTTCACAATGTTATCTACAGTTGTCACAATCCATACAGTCCAATGCCTTGTCTAGTCAATAAAGCACAGGTAAACAGCTTTCTGGTATTCTCTGTTTTTCACTGAGATCCATCTGAAATCAGCAATGATATCCCTAGTGCCACTTCTTCTGAATCCAGATTGAATTTCTGGCAGTTACATGCTGATGTACTATTGTAACCATTTTTTAATATTCATCAGCAAAATTTTATTTGCATAGGATACTGTCCGATGATTTCTGCATTCTGTTGGGTCACTTTTCTTTGGGTTGGGTATAAATATGGATCTCTTCCAACTGATTGGTAAAGCAGCTGAATTCCAAATTTCTCAGCATAGATGAGTGAACATCTTCAGCATCAGGTTGTTGAAACATTTCCATTTGTATTCCGTCAATTCCTGGACACTTATTTTTTGCCTAGGCCTTCAGTGCCGCTTGGACTTCTTCCTTCTATACCATCAGTTCTTGATCACATGCTACCTCTTGAAATGGCTGAACATTGTCCAATTCTTTATGCTACAATGACTGTATTCCTTCCATCTTCTTTTGATGCTTCCTGCCTCGTTCAATATTTTGCCCATAAAACCCTTCAGTATGCAAGATATACCTTATAAACTTGTGGCTTGATATTTTTTTTTTTCCATTTCTTTCAGCTTATGAAACACTGAGCATGTTGCTAGCTCCAGGTATTTGCACCGAAGGTACTGGTAAAAAAACAAAACAAAACAAGGCTCCAGGGATTGATGGAATACAAATAGAAATCTTTTAACAAACTGGTGCAATGCCAGAAGTGCTTATTTGTCTATGCCAAGACTAGAAGAGATTCCAATTTATCTTGGGAAAAGTACAACCAGGATGCTCCTTAGAAGTGAGGATGGTGAGACTTTGTCTCTTGAATTTTGGACCAGGAGGGACCAGTCCTTGGAGCAGGACACCACGTTTGGTAAAGTGGAGGGTCATAGAAAAAGAGGAAGACCCCAAGTGAGATAGACTGACACAGTGGTAGCAACAGTGGGCTCCAAGGACAATGTGATGCTGGCACAGGAACGGGCAATGTCTCATCCTGTGGTGCACACACAGGGCGACTATGAATCGGAACTGACTGAAGGCACCAAACAACAACAAACTCACACACACACACACCAGTGCAGATCCCTCCCCTCTCTAGTCCCCTTCTTTCTTGGGTCCTAAAGCTTGTCCTGGTGTAGCACTGTGGGCTAATGCATCAGACTGAAAAGTCATTTGAACTGCAAGGTCAGTGGTTCAAGCTCTCCAGCTGCTCCTTGAATACCCTGTACAGGGTCGCTATGGGTCGGAATCAACTCAACGGCATTTAATAACAACAACAAAGCTTGTCAACAGATCTCAGTGAAGGGTTTTGTGTGTTTAGACCTTCTGTCTTTGCCTTTTTCCTAGTCCGTTCCTGGCATCCGCTGATGTCTCAGTTCATTTTCATTCCATTCCATGGAAATAAAAACTATGTCATACATACTGTGAAAAGGAGCTCTGGTAGTGTAGTGGTTACAAACTGGGCTGCGAACCTTAAGGTCAGCAGTTTGAAACTATCAACCACTCCACAGAAGAAAGATGAGGCTTTCTGCTCCCATAAAGATTTACAGCCTTGGAAACCCTGTACAGGGTCACTATGGGTTGGAACTGACTCCACGGCACTAAACAACAACAACAAACGTACTGTGAAAGAATTGTGTTGCAAATCAAGACTCCCCACTCTACTATGGGAGCCCTGGTATGGCGCTGTAGGACAATGCACTGGACCACAAGGTTGGTTTGAACCCAACTGGTTCAAGCTCACCAGTCACTCATCAGAAACCCAATACAGGATCACTATGAGTCAGAACTGACTTGACAGCACTTACAAATAACCACAACTTTCCTATAAAACTATAAATAAAAACTTGTTTCATCCTTTAAAAATAACACCCTAAACTTTGTATTAAAAGTAATAAAAATTTCATTGCATTTATATTTTTATTTTGGAAAATTTAACATCTTAACTCTATCTTCCCACTTAGGAACTTATCTTTGCATTTACTCACATTTTGTTTTATTTTCCTCATACGATTTTATAGTTTTCTTCATAGACATCCTGTGTCTTTCTAGTTATTACATCCTAAGTAATTTCCTTTTATTACTATCAGGATTGGAGTATTTTTCCCACTTCTATTTCTGTTTATACTATTACTAGTTCTGAATTTGAACACTTAAAAGTTTTTGAGTCCCAGCTCTTGCATCTGTATTGTGAAGACTCCAGACCTCTGGCTGTGGAGTGGATTCAAACTCACAGCTACCCTACAGGGCAGAGTAGAACTGTCCCTTAGTGTTTCCAAGCTGTACTCCTGAGGAATTTGAGGACTAAGGCACACCTGACTCAATTCATTGTATTTTCAATAGGCTCCTTCTATGCATGTGGATGTTGGACAACGAATAAGGAAGACTACAGAAGAATTGATGCATTTGAGTTTGGGTGTTGGAGCAGAATATTGAAAGTACCATGGACTGCCAGAAGAACAAACAAATCTGTGTTGGAATTAAGTTCAGCCAGAATGCTCCTTAGAAGCCAGGATGACCAGACTTCATCTCTCATACTTCGGACATATTATCAGGAGAAGAGTTACTTCATTCTTGGTAAAGTTGAGGGTCAGGGAAAAAGAAAATCTCCCAACAGACTAGACAGACACAGTGGCAGCGGCAATGGGCTCAAGTGTGACATTAAGAGAGCCAGGCAGTGTTTCATTCTGTTGTTCATAGGGGTTGCTATGAGTCAAGACTAATTTGATGGCACCTAATAACAACAACAAAAGAGCTCTGGTAGCATAGTGGTTACGAATCGGACTGTGAACCGCAAGGCCAGCAGTTCGAAACCACCAGCTGCTCCGCGGGAGAAAGATGAGGCTTTTTGCTCCCGTAAAGATTTGCAGCCTCAGAAACCCTGTTCAGGGTCACTCTGGGTCGGAACCGACTCGACGGCACTTAACAACAACAACAACAATCACAACAATGCTTACAGGAACATATTCCCACATCTTTCTCTTGCAGCACAACTGGTGAACTGAACCTTTGGATTAGCTGCCAACCTCTTAACCACTGCCGGGCCAGGAATTCCTTATGTGAAAACGAAAAGACTGCTCTGAATTCAGAGCTCCTAGTACAGTGCTTGACACGTGGCTACTAGCAGAAATCCCTTTCCCAGGAAAACTCAGAACTGTCCCTTGTGATGTCTCCCTTGTGATGTCGACTAGGTGGAAGAAAACTGCGTGAAGATTGGCTGGGAGATGGGGAAAACAAAGGAATACCGGCGAAGGTTGCACCCAAGAGTCCAAGTTACCTAACTGGCCCAACCCAGGGTGGAGTCTCCTCGGGCCCAGGCGGGGGGGCCAGTGCAGTCCCCTGGGGCCTGGCCAGCGTGCGGTTGCCCACAGTGTGATGGCAAGCTTAGCCCAGGGGCCCGTGCCCTGGTCCCCACTCCTGTTCCTGCTCGTGGCGCTGCTTGGGACACTTGGGCCCCAGGTGAGAATCATGGGCGCCCGGGTGCAGAGGGCTGGGGCGTGTGCTGGTGGGGGGGGAGGGGGGCGCAGCCAGGCATCAGTGAGTTCCTCACCCTCCCTCTGGCTGGGGTCGCCCCAAGTCGGTCCCGACTAGTGCTAACCTTTTAGGTCTAGGGAGCTGCCAGTTGTCCCCCAAACACGTAGGTGGGGAGACCTACCAGCATGGTAAAGTGCAGGTAAATGGAACAGCCCGCCCCTTTTGTGTGTTGGGGAGGGTTTTTACTTTACTCCCTTGCCTTTAAACTTATGGGAATCCAGGTCCCTTTGAAAATATGAAAAGCTAAAAGGGAGAAGAGAATTCACCAATTCTTTTCTGAGAACTGTGGCTGCCCACAGCTTCGCAAACAATTTCAGGTGACTGACAACTTCTCCCTTTGTCCACGAAGGACACCAGCTTAAGAGCTTCTGAGACCAGAGCCTGAGGGGTGGGATACAGTCTAGCCCTGCCAGAGTGGGAGCTCCCAGTCTTAAAGAAAGTCTTCAGGGAGAAGGCAAATAACCCCCAGCCCAGATCAAGTTGTCCAGCCTGGAGCCCCCAGAATAGCCAAAGAAGCTAATGTATGTCATCACCTGTGCCTGCTGTCTATCTCTGAGTCCATCTGTGAGTGCCAAGTAGGAATGGGCTCACTGACTCATTCCAGAAAAAAAAAAAAAAAATAGAACTATTGGAAATCTGAATTTTGCAGCATAAAGCTGCTTCTTTTTCTTTCTTACTTGGCAGCTAATTAAAACAATCTTTTTAAACACCATGATGTTACCCATGGCCAACAAGTTTCCAGCCTCTCCTCTTGACCATTCTTCCTCCTGCTATATTGCAAATGCCAAAACTGAGGCCCTGGAAAGATAGGGAATAGAAGGCCATCTCCCTACTCACCACCACATACCACTGGCTCAGCCCCAAAACTGAGGGTCCCGGAGCAGGATGTGGTCTTTGCAAGGTGTGGCTGGGCCACCCGGATGTTAAGGTTCCTGCTGTGAGCTCAGCCTCACCCTGTTTGCTCAGGGAGGGGCAGAGCAGGTTACTTAGCCCAGCAGGGGCCAGATGTAAGGGCAAATCCAAGCCTGTCTCCTTTAGCCCACCCCTCAGCCTTGGACCATGGGGGCCACTGAAGCCTGGCACCAAAAATAGCTAGGCTGGTTTGGGTAGGCAGAAGAAGTTCATCCCAAAAGAAGTAGACAGGGTAGCAAAACAGAAAGAGACCAGGCATTGGAATCAGAGCTATAGGGGTTCAAGTCCCAGTTCACCCATTTGTTATCTGTGTGACTTTAGTCCAATAACCTTCCTGGGCCTCCGTTACCTTTACCTGTACCAGGGAAGATAATCATACTAATCTCATAGGAAGTAGGGGGTCAGTGAAGTTGTTTTGTAAAAACCTCAGTTTTTGGAGCATCAGAAGGAATTGGGGACAGAGGAGGGGGACTTGCAGACATGATAGAACTGGAGCCCCCACCTCCAGGGTCAAGGTGGATGATGGGTGGAACTAGCAGCTTGCCCAGTCATCCACTTCCTTTCTCTGACCACCTCTGGGTGGGAGTAAGGGTGATCCCAGAGTGCTCAGGGAGCTGGCTTCATTTCCTACTGCAGGTCCAGAGCCTTAAGCCTGAGAACCTCCTGTTTGTGTCCACCTTGGATGGAAGTCTCCACGCACTGAGCAAGCAGACAGGAGACTTGAAGTGGACACTGAAGGATGGTAAGCAAGGGGCTACCACTCCTCCCTTCTTGGGCCCTGAGTTGAGGGCATCACTATGGCACAGAGGATAAGAACATGTGCTCTTGAATCCAACAAGTCACTTTCTGGAGACAGTATCAACCACCTACCAGCTATGTGGCCTTGGGAAAATCACTTTACCTCTCTGAGTCTCAGTGCCCTCACCTGGAAAATGGGTAAATAACCCAATCTAACAGTACTTAAAAGAATTACATGAAGTGACACATGTTTAGCTTGTGGCTGACATAATGTGAGCGCTCAATGCATACGAGTTATTTTTTCCAGTGGGAAGTTTGGAAGGGGGAAGGAGCTACTCATGTTCTGTGTCCTTGTTTCGGCAGATCCAATCATCCAAGGGCCATTGTACGTCACAGAGTAAGTAAACCTGGGTCCTTTTCAAGGAGGGGCCAGCAACAGTTGTCTGGAGGAAGCCAGAGGGGGCATCTTGAAATTAAGGAAGAGAATTGGGTCTGGATGTGATATGGGGGAGGAACTTCAGGCCCCCAGGTATCTCCTGCATGGACAGTTTCTACTAGCTTTAGGGTGGGAGGGAATGGGAACCTCAATGGAACCAATGGGCATATGCCACCCTTCCCCCAATTCTTCTGTTCCACAGAATGGCCTTTCTCTCAGATCCAGCTGATGGCAGCCTGTACGTTTTGGGGACCCAGAAACAACAGGGATTAATGGTATGTTTCTGATAGCACTTGGGGAGTGGGTGAAGGCCAGGGTATCTGTCAGACAGAACCCTGAGGAGGTTGGGGGACAGTTTGATCACAGATGTCCTGTGGATGATGCAATTCAGGATTCTGAGTGCATTGTGGGATAGCTGTGTAGAGGGGCCTGGCTGAAAGGGGGAGGGGAAGTGGCTGAGTTTTCTCAGACCACTGAAGGTACCATGGGGAGCTCCCTTACAGCACTCTGAGGCTATGAAGGAGAGAAAGATGTGGCCATTGGTGTTGTTAGCTGCTGTCAAGTCGGCCCCATCATGACCCAGTTCATAGTGGAACAAAATGTTGTTCCATCTTGTGCTTCAGACTGTTGTGATCCATAAGATTTCTGTTCTGGGGTTTTGTTTTTTGTTTTTATTGTGGTGAAAATATACACATCAAAAGGATCTGCCAACCAAAGAACTTCCACACTAACAATTCAGTGACATTGATTATAATTTTCATATTGTATCACCATTATTGCTATCTTTTTCCAAAATATACTACAACCATTACTATACATTCAGTGTTTCCTCAAAAAAAATGGCCTTTTTCAATTTCACCCTTAGTAACCATTAATATGTTTGGTTTCTACATATTTACTTAGTTCCTATACATGAGATTGGACAGAATCTTTTAGCAATTGACTTAGTTCACTCAGCATAATGTTTTCCATTGACAACGTTGTCATTGAACAAATGTTGGAAGTAGATTGCCAGACCTTTCCTCCTAGTCTGCCTTTGTGTTGTTATCAGTTGTTGTTGTTAGGTGCTGCCATCGCTGACTCATAGTAACCCTACGCACAACAGAAGGAAACACTGCCAAGTCCTGCGCCATCCTCACAATTGTTGTTACATTTGAGCCAATGCTGCTGCCTCTGTGCCAATCCATCTCATTGGGCTCTTCCTCTTTTTCCCTGACCCCCCACTTTACCAAGTGTGAGATCCTTCTCCAGGGACTGGCCGAAGGATGAGAGATGAAGTCTTGCCATCCTTGCTTCAAAGAAGCATCTGGCTGTACTTCTTCTATCAGTTAGCTTTGTCTAAAATACAAATTATCCTGAAACAAAATGACTGGAAACACAAACCATTGATCTAGCTGACAGTTTTGTAGAATAGCAGTTTGGGTTAGACTGGGCTCTGCTGGTGACTCTTCCGCTGGTCTAGGCTGAGCTAACACATGCATCTGTGGTCGGCTGCTAGTCAACTTGATGCTTCTGTTTCAGAAAGTTGGCTGGTGGTTAGCAGACTTTGGACAAGAACAACTGCGTGATATTTCTCTCATGCTCTTACAGGCAACCCTTCTGAGCTTGTGTACGTTGTGTCTAGAGGCATCCAGAAGCAGCAAGAGAGGGCAAGCCCAAGTGCACAAGCTTTGTTCACGTTTCTGCTAGCACTGAATTAGCTATGTCTCTAGACTAAGGCAAGTCTGTGATCAAGTGTAGATTCAAAGGGTGAATAAATTGACACTAGAAAGCATACACGTAGAGGGAGAAAGAATTTGTGGTCCTTGTTGCTATGGTGAGGTACCACTGAGTCAGTTAGGACTCATAGAGACCCTACATACAACTGAAGGAAACACTACCTGGTGTCGTGCCACCCTTAAAGCCAATCCTATGTTTGAGCCCACTGTAGTAGTCAGTGTATCAATCCATCTCATCGAGGCTCTTCCTCTTTTTCACTCAGCCTCAATTTTACCAGACATGATGTCCTTCTCCAGGGACAGGTTCCTCCTGATATCTTTTCCAAATTATGTGAGATGTAGTCTTGCTATTCTTGCTTCTAAACGGCATTCTGGCTGTACATCTACCAAGACAGACATGTGTTCTTCTGGCCATTCATGGTATATTTAATGTTCTTTGCCAACATGATAATACAAAGGTACCAATTATCCTTCCCTCCTCTTTATTCATTGTCCAGTTTTTGTATCAAAAGAATAGTCCTCAAACTGACATTTCTACTTTTTAATAATTTAAACAAGTTTTTTGCAGTAGATTTGCCCAATGCAATACATTATTTGATTTCCTGATTGCTGTTTCTATGAGTGTTGATTGTGGATCCAAGTAAAATGAAATCCTTAGTAATTTGATTATTTTCACCTTTTATCATGATGCTGCTTATTGGTCCAGTTGTAAGGCTTTTTGTATTCTTTATTTTGAGGTGTAATTCATACTGAAGACTGTAGTCTTAGATCTTCATCAGTAAGTGCTTTAAGTCTCCTTCCCTTTCAACAAGCAAGGTTGAGTCATCCACATATCACAGGTATTAAGGAGCCTACCTCTCTATAAGGAGCTCTGGTAGCATAGTGGTTACGAATCGGGCTGTGAACCGCAAAGTCAGCAGTTCGAAACTACCAGCAGTTCCACGGGCGAAAGATGAGGCTTTCTGCTCCCGTAAAGATTTACAGCCTCGGAAACCCTGTACAGAGTCACTATGAGTCGGACCCGACTCCACAGCACATAACCACCACCACCACCTCTAATCCTGATACCACCTTTTCCTTCCCATAGTCCAGCTTCTTGGATTCCTTTCTCAACATACAGATTGATTTTAGGCCAGCCAGTATCCCCGTGATCTGTTTGAACCACTGCCTCTTAATCTATATACAGGTTTCACATGAGCACAATTAAACATTTTGGAATTCCCATTCTTTACAATGTTATTTACTGATGAAGATCAAAGAGCACAGTCTTCTGTATGGATTACAACTCAACGTAAAGAAAACAAAAATCCTCACCACTGGACCAATAAACAGCATTCTTATCAATGGAGAAGAGATTGAAGTTGTCAAGGACTTCATTCTTCTTGGATCAACTATCAACACTCACGGAAGCAGCAGTCAAGAGATCAGACGACGTATGGCACTGGGCAAATGTGCTGCACAGGAACTTTTTAAAGTATTGAAGAGCAGAGATGTCAGCTTGAGGACTAAGGTGCGCCTGACCCAAGCCATGGTATTTTCAATAACCTCATATGGATGCGAAAGCTGGACAGTGAATAAGGAAGATCGTAGAAGAATTGATGCCTTTGAGTTGTGGTGTTGGAGGAGAATACTGAAAGTGCCATGGACTGCCAAAAGAACCAATAGATCTGTTTTGGAAGTAGTGCAACCAGAATGCTCCTTGGAGGCCAAGATGGCTAGGCTTCGTCTCTCATACTTTGGACACATTGTCCAGAGAGAACAGTCGCTGGAGAAGGATGTCATGCTGGGTAAGGTGGAGGGTCAGAGAAAAAGAGGAAGACCCCCAACGAGATGGATCAGCCAGGTGGCATCATTGATGGCATCAAGTGTGGCTGCGGTAGTGAGGTTGGCCCAGGATTGGACATTGTTTCGTTCTGCTGTGCATGGGGTCACTATGAGTTGGTTCCGACTCGATGGCACCTGACAACAACAACAACATTGTTATCCATAATTTATTATGATCCATGTAGGCAAATGCCTTTGCATAGTCAATGAATCACAGGCAACCACCTTTCTGGTATTCACTTTCAGCCAAAATCCATCTGATATCAGCAATGATATCTCATGTTCCATGTCCTTTTCTGAATCCAGCTTAAATTTCTGGCAGTTCCCTGTTGATGTAATGCTGCAACCATTTCTGAATTCTCTTCAGCAAAAATTTACTTGTGAGTGCTATTAATGATGTTGTTCAACAGTTTCTGCATTTTATTGGATCACCTTTCTTTGGAGCTATAACAAATATGGATCTCTTCCAGTTGATTGACCAGGTAGCTATCTTCCAAATTTTTGACATAAACAAGTTACCACCTACAGAAATTCCATCCATGTGTTGAAATTTTTCTATTTGTATTTCATCGATTCCTGGAGTCTTGTTTTTCACCAATGCCTTCAGCGCTTCTTGGACCTCTTCCTTCATTACCATCTTTTCTTGATCATAGGTTACATCCTGAAATAGTTGAACACTAACCAATTTTGTGTGTGTGTATAGTGACTCTGTATTTCTTCCATCTTCTTGTTATGCTTCAGTGGAGTCTGTGCCGCTGTAAGATAAAGCACTGGGCCACAAGGTCAGTTTGAACCATGAGGTCAGAAGTTCAAGCTCACCAGCCACTCTTTGGAAACCCTATACAAGGTTACTTTGAGTCAGAACCAACTCAACGCCACTTAACAACAATAGCATGTCATTCAATATTTTGTTCATAGACTCCTCCAATGTTGCAACTCTTTGGTCATACATTAAACCCATTCTTGAGATCATGTCTAAATTTAGAACAGATATACTCTTATGAATTCATTTTAATATTCTTCAGCTTCAAGTTGAACTTGTGTGTGTGCAACTGATGGTCTGTTCCACAGTCAGTCCTTGGCTTTGTTCTGACTGATGATATTGAGCTTCTCCATCCTCTTTCCACAGATGTAGTAGCTTTCATCCTGTGTATTCCTCCCAATAAGGTCCATGTGTATAATTGCCATTTATGTTGTAGGAAAAGGTATTTGCAATGAAGGAACCATTGGTCTTACAAAAACCTATCAGGTGATCTCCAGCATCCTTTCTGTCTTCAGGGTGATCTTTTTACCTTGTTTCCAATTTTGGCATTCCGATCAATGCATCTTGATTGTAGGTTTGATCAATTTCAGATGGCAGCAGTTGGTAAAAATCTTCAGTTTCTTCATCTTTGTCATCATTCGTGGTTGGTATATAAATTTGAATAGTAGTCATAGTAACTAATCTTCCTTTGTGTATTCCAACACTGTCAGCGTTGTGTTTCAGGATAGATCTTGAAATGCTCTTATGGATCATGAATGCAATGCCATTGCTCTTCAATTTGTCATTCCCAGCATAGTAAATCATATGATTATCTGATTCAAAATAGTACCAGTTTGTTTGAACTCACTAATGCCTAGGATATCAATCTTCAAGCATTCTATTCTATTTTTCATGACTTGTAATTTTTCGTTCTGTTGTACATAGGGTCACTATGAGTTGGTACTGACTTGATGGCACCTAACAACAACAA